TCTCCATTGCTGGCCTCCTCCCCCACTGGGGCAGCCATCCTCCTCCTCGAATGCAGGGACCTTGGCCACTTGGAGGGGAGGTGGGCCCCAGCCCCAGGGTGGCAGCTGCATTAGAACTGTCCTTAGATTCCCCTGGGGCCCTATCTGGAAACCCCTCCCCTTCAGGCCTTCCAGGGCTGGGGGTGGATGAGATGGGACTGTGGGTGTGGGGTGGCAGCTTTCCCCCAGTTCACCCCCTTCCATCCTAATGGAGTGGGCGCTTCCACTGCCATTTTAACGGGGGCGCCTGTTGGGCCAGAGAGGTAAAGCCACTGGCCCAAGGTCATGCAGCAGGGGCTAAACTGACAGACCCTTCCAGCCTCCCTTTGGGCTCACTGTGCTGGATGGAGCCCCGACTCCCACTCAGCAATTATTAGGCCCTTGGTTAGTGCTGGGCTTCCAGTGGTCAACAACGATGGGCATGCCTGGAGCCTTTCCTAGGTGAGGGGGCACGGTGTATGCTGAACATCCCAGCGGTGTCAAGGACAGGGGTCCTAGGTTGATTGGGGGAGGTGGTCCAGCTGAGCAGCTCTGGGGGTAAGGGAAGGTGTGGGAGTGTTGCAGGTAGAGGGAGGCCCTGAATGTTGCAGGTGTGCAAAGGCCCTGAGGCCGGAAGAGCCTAGAAAGCCGGAGATGGCTGCCAGGAGGGTTCGAGGCTGGGCTGGTCGCTGCAGACAGACTTCAGGGCCTTTCCTTGGGGAGGGGGTAGAGAGTTGGAGGCCCTGGCTCTTGGGGTTACGGCAGGAGCAGGGAGTGCTTGTGGGTGCCCTTGAAAGCCAAGGGGCAAGCCTGGGCAGGTAGTCCTGTCCAGGAAGGTTTGCACCATCCAGACTGATTCAGGATGACAGGGCAGGAAGAGGGGAAGCCGGGGTCAGGAGAAGCCTTGGCTCATTGATGCCTTTAAAGGGGGAAGGGGAGCCAGGGGAGGGCTTAGGGAAGAGGTTGGGGCTTGGGGCCCGGCTGGTTCAGGATCCCCTTCTTGTTCCCAAGTTAGTTGACAACACCCCCCTGCCCCCCCTTTCTGGGATGGGAAGGCTCCTGGTGAGCCTGGGCAGCCTGGGAGGGGGCTGCCAAGACTCGTTGTGGACTGCCTTGTGTGGCAAGGGGGTGGGGTCTGCGCTGCCGCCCCACGTTGGGAAATCCAGGCCCGGAAGCTGCTAGCAATCACCTAGGCCTGCACAGACCGGGCCTGGGCCACAAGCTACAGCCTGCTCTCTGGCCTCAGTTTACTTGCTTCGGGACAGCTCTACCTCTGTGAGGTCCATTAATGCTGGTCTTCCACGTCTGGTGCCACCCCCTGCTGCCCCGCCCATTTCCTGCCTTTCCTCTGTGTCAGCAGCTTCCCCAGCCAGATCCCTCCCCTCTGGCCAGCTGTGCGCAGTGCACTCCCCAGGGCCTGGCCTGGATCCTGGCTCAAGTGCTGTGTCAGACGCTGGTTTGCTGGGGAACTGCTGTGGCTGGGCTTTGCAGGGTGTGTACGAGCTCAGCAGAGGAGGCAGGGAACCGCCAAGTCAGGATAGAGGAGGGAGTGGGGATTGGACAGGGTCGTAGAGAGCAGACTAGAAGGGGGTGGGGGGCTGGAAGGCCACAGCGGGTTCCAGGTCCCTCCCCCAAGTAGGCTGAGGGGAGGGGAAGGGCATGGTCAGAACCGCTTGCTCTAGGGGTTTGGGGGAACTCTTAAGACACCCCTAAGAGACCTGAGAACTGGGGCCCTGTGGAGGCTTTAGAGGAAGGGGGTGCCACACACATTTTCGGTCAGGCCTGGAGAGCGAGGAGGGAGATGAGGGAGGAGGGAGGTGGGGGCGGCAGGCAGGGGCCTGAGGCACCTCCTATGCTTGTCACCAGCTCCCACTAGGGAGACATGTCTGTAGGCAAGGGCCCGGGGCGCCTGTGACTCAGGCTTTCTGTGTAGCTGTTGTCAAAAAGAAAAATCCGCAGAAAAGCCCGTTCCCATAGTAACCGGGTTCTAATTAGAGACTTGGAGGCTGAGTAGGCCTCTGGCAGCGGCTGGGCTGGGCAGGAGAGCCTGCTTGCAGACCCAAGTGTCCTGGCAGATGGGAGGGGATGGATCCTACCTTCTTCCAGGTGGGCAAACGGAGCTGCAGGAGGTTGGGGGGCGGGGGGACTGCTGCCACTTTGGGACCTCTAGTGGCCCCCTTGGCCATTGCTAGCTGAACTCATGATGAGGGCCCTGGTGATATTACTGAGCCCAGCTGAACTTCAGTTTTGTCCCTGGTCAGGTGGAGGCGTTCAAACAATTCCTGCTACGGCTTGCCATGAGCCCATTCCCACTTGTTGCCACCCTAGAGGCTTTCTACTCCCTTAAAGATATGGAGAAACCCACAGGGCCGGTCTACTCTGCCCCACAGAGTGGCGGGGAGGTCAAGCCACACCCACCACTTGACTGTCCCTTGGTCGGGCTGCGGTGGCCAGCCTGCTCCTATGGTGCTAGAAGCTGTGCTAGTCAGGCCACCCATGATGGACTGGTTCCAGTGAGCTTCCAGACCCAAGACTAGCAAGAAACATCAGAAACCTAGTTCCCCAAACTCCAAACCACTCACCCATAACACCTCAACTGCCATTGAGTCAATCCCAGCTCACAACAACCCGATAAGACAGGCCAGAACGGCCCCTGTGGCTTTCTGAGATGGTAGCTCTTTACAGGAGTAGAAAGCCAACTCTCTTCCCCTTGGAACAGTTGGTGGTTTTGAACTGTTGATCTTTCAGTTAGTAGCCCAACGTGTAACCACTGCACCACCAAGGCTCCCCAAACTGGCCAGTGGAAAACCTACGGCTTGATGCAGCTGGAAGACGAGTCCTCATGTGGTGGGTGGCCTCACATGACAGTGTCCGCGACAGTAGACTTGAGCAGGGCAAGCAGCCACTGAGGCACGGCCAGACAGGGCAGCTAGCAACTAGAGCCTAGGCTCAGGGGCCACTCTCACTTTGGGGCTCAGCAGCCCTTGCTGTAAGGTGCTGTTGATTTGGTGCCGCCCCATCGTGCTCTGTATACAACAGCAGGGAACCCTGCCCGGCCTCGCGCATTGTATTTGAGCCCTTTGTTGGGGCCACAGTGTCAGTCTGTCTCAAGGAGGGTTTTCTTCTACTCTACCATAGACAGGATGCTCTTCTGCAGGGACTGGTCTCCCCCGATAACCCGTCCAAATCTCCCGACCTCCCTTCTAAGGAACATTCTAACCGAACGTTTCCCAAGAGAGATTTGAATCTGGAATCTGACACGTGGAGCTTAAGCCCAGGCGATCTGCTTCCAGAAATTAGCCGAAGAAAAACCTATACATATGCTTTCTTTCTCAGTGCCCTGGATAGAATACTTCAGTTCTCTAGCCTTTCTTACTGTCTGACTTTTGTGTGCACACGAGGTGACTGAAAACACTACGGCTTCAGTCAGGCACACCTGAGCCTTCCCCGTGACACCTTTTCTTTTAATACTCAACCAGAGGGCATCGCTTAGACTGGAGGCGGCACCAGGCTTACTTGCAAAGCTGTGCTAGATAGTAGTTATGCGTTTGACTGCAATCGAAAGGTCAGAGTTCCAAATCACCAGCTGGTCCTTGGGAGAAAATTGAGGCTTTCTACTCCTGTAAAGAGTTACAGCCTCAGAAGCTCACAGGGGCCGTTCTGCCTGTCCCATAGGGTTGCTGTGAGCGTGCGGGAGTTAGCACAAGCCCCCAGGGCTGGGCTGGAGATTCAGCTCTCCCCCCCGCCCCCCCTCACATCCCCGATCCATCAGCACCCGTGAGCGTGTCCCTTGTTCCCACTTCCTGGGAGCTCCGTGCCCCCTCTGTCTTTTGGGCTGCTGGGGAGGGATGGGTAGGGCTCCCCTCTTATTTGTTCCCTTTCTTCCTGCCCATCAACTCTCCTCCAGTCCCCCACCTCCTCTCTGGACAGATGGTGTTGTATGGCCAGTGGGGACTGGGACCCCCAGGGCAGGTCTCCTGGTCCAGGGGGAGGACTGTGGTCATTTTGCTGGGGGTCTCCTGTAAAAACCTGTGTGCGGCTGGGTTGTCTAGCGAAACATAAACAACTGACACTCCTTTGTGTTAATAGGAACTTCATATCAAGAAGTAACTTTTTATCAGGAAAGCATCCCAGCCCAGACCAACCTAAGTCCATGGGTCTGCGGCTAGTGGAGCTGGCTTCAGACTCAGGTAGCTGCAGAATGATGATGTAGAAGCAGTGAAGTGGGCATGGTGGGTGCAGATCTCATGGGGTCCCCCTGGAAGCAAGCAGAGGCCCAGCAAGCAGGAAGAAGGAGTTTCCAGTGTCTCCCTTATAAAAGAGGCCACACCCCCAGGAAGGTGCCAAAAGACTGTCACTTGATTGACAGGGTAGACATGTTCACACCAGGTCAAGTTGGCATAAAATCACTGCCACAAAGTCCAAGGCCCTTTTGGGTGGGATGGAGGGTTTGAGGAGGGGGCTAACTCCTTGGTAATCTCCAGTAGCCCCGTGGCATCAGCGGAGGTGGGGCAGGTTGTCTGATTTGTGGGGTCCTCTGGCTGAGGGAGGTCTGAGTTAGGGGACTCTGGCCCTGGTTCCCTTCTGGGTGGTGGTTTGGAGTATCCAGCAGGATGTGGATGGCAGGCAAGCTCACACAGGGCTGGGGCAGCCCCAGGGTGGCTGGGTCCAGGAGGGCACCAGGCAGAGGGCAGGTTTGGGGATGTGGCAAGAAGAGGAGCTCTGCCCGAGAGCCTCCAAGCCCCTGCTGTGTGACTGTGGGCGAGGATGGTTATAGAACCACAGGAGAGGCCCCCTGGCTGGCCAGCCTGTTTCCTCCTCTGGCGAGTGTTGGCCTGCTCTCCACCGAGTAGAGGGCTGCAACAGGTGTGGCAGTGGCCTGGCTGCTGAGGGTCTTAGCATCGGGGTGCTGGGAGACACCCATTGAGTGTCTGTTTGACCCAAAGACTGCTTTCAGGTTTCATCAGGAGAAGCACATATGCTGCAGGGGGGCGTGGGCCAGAGAGGGGGAGGAGGTGTTTGCAAAAAACTATGGCTATAAAGGTGGTGGTGACCCTGTTGGTTTCTGAGACTAACTATACGGGAATAGAAAGTCTCACCTTTGTCTTGTGGACTGGCTAGTTGTGAGTTGGGTTGGCAGCCACTAGGCCACCAGGGCTCCTTTGGGATACACAGCTGCACACACACAAAGACACGTGTGCACTGCCGGGCTCCGTCTGCAGAGAAGGCAGCAGGCGTGCACTTGGGATGAGGAGGGTGTAGCTGGGTAGGATATTGGAAGCAAGGTGCTTGCCACTGTGGTTCGTGGGTTTGGGTGGGGGGTGAGGATGTGAATGTGTGCCACGTCCTTTCTTCATCTTTCGGCTTTAAGTTTCCACGTGGCCAGGCTGGAAGCCCTGGGTGTGGGTCCTACCTGCTGCCCCCCACCCACTCACCCCACCCCACCCCATCCCCATTGTTCATCTGGCAATTTTGGTTTATTTAAAGCACAACCCTGACATCATACTATTCCATCTCCAAATGCTTCCATATGGCTCTGGAAAACGAGGCCCGGCTTTCTGCCACCCCTGCGGTTAGCAGCAACCCTTCGTATCCAACCCTGCTGCTCTCGGTCCCGGGCCTCCACCGGCTCAGGAGTGTCTTTCTCTTTACCTTAGGCCCTTTTTAGGGTGACTCCCCTGAGCGTTTGCAAAGCCTGCTGGTGTGTCCCCAGTCAACACTGCACAGATCTTTGGGGGTGCTGGTTGCTGGCCCCTCCCTCCCTGTTTCAGCACCCTCCCCATTTCCTCCTGCCTTCTGGCTTTTCCTTCTGGACACAGGCTGGCCTTTGGGTCTTTGGGAGCACAGGTGTGACTGGACCTGTCACAGGTGTGTAGACCTGTCTGGTGTTTGGCGGCCAGGTGATCTGTCCACGAGTGGGTTTAAAGGGTGAAGGATGCCTTTTTGTCGTTGGGCTTGTTCGAAGAGAGAGTGGTCTTGGGGCTGCCTGGCCCCACCCACGCCCAGCGAGGTCCTGCAACACTTGAGCTTCTCCCTTTGTGTGGGATGCAGGAGAGAGAGAAAGAGAGTCAGAGTCAGCCGGGAGGAGCTGAGTGTTTTAGGGAAAGCCCTGGGGCTGCTGTAACAGGACAGAAATCCATCCTCTCTGGGTCTTGGAGGCTGCATGTCAGAGATAATGGGTCAGCTCCGCTGATTCTGCTGACGGGCAAGTGCATGGGCCCTCCCTCTTGGCTCTGCCTGTGGTCCTTGGCCTTTATTGACTTACACCTCAACCTCAGTGTCCCCGGCGTAGATGCCTCCCCATCTCTCCACCTTTAAAAGGGCACCTGTCTGATGGGTCTCCTCTTAAAACTACAGACCCTTCTCTGACTGAGGCCATGTCTCCCGGCCGTGAACACACCTTTCTGGGAAATACCCTGTAGCTTACAGGGCGGCCATGGGAACCGGTACCACCCTCAGGCTCTCTCCACAGGCATGGACCTGTCGGCCAATCAGGACGAAGAGACCGACCAGGAGACCTTTCAGCTGGAGATTGACCGTGACACCAAAAAGTGCGCCTTCCGCACCCACACGGGCAAGTACTGGACGCTGACGGCGACTGGGGGCGTGCAGTCCACAGCCTCCACCAAGTGAGTGTCCCCCGACCCCCTCAACACCCTCCGCCCTCGGCCGCCTTGCACTCCGAGAGGCCCCTGACCTGCCCCCGCTGCCCGCAGGAATGCCAGCTGCTACTTTGACATCGAGTGGTGCGATCGGCGCATCACTCTGCGCGCCTCCAATGGCAAATTTGTGACAGCCAAGAAGAATGGGCAGCTGTCGGCCTCGGTGGAGACCGCAGGTACTTGGGGCGGCAAGGAAGAGTAGCTCCCCCCGGGAGGTGGCCCCTGCCCACCCTATAGCAGACTCACCGCCCCTCCCCCACTCTTGGGACAGGGGACTCGGAGCTCTTCCTCATGAAGCTCATCAACCGGCCCATTATCGTCCTGCGAGGGGAACATGGTTTCATCGGCTGCCGCAAGGTCACCGGCACCCTGGACGCCAACCGCTCCAGCTACGATGTCTTTCAGCTGGAGTTCAACGACGGCGCCTACAACATCCGAGGCAGGCCTGCGGGGGACGGGGCGGGGCGGGGCCACGCAGGAGGACTGGGACCAACGCTCGGAGCTGGGAGGGCCCCCACAACCCTGAACCCCACGTGTGGCCACGTGTCCTCCATTGCGATCAGGCCCGCGAGCGTGGTGGGGCTCAGAATCGCGATTGGTGGGGAGGGGGCACTACTCCGTGAAGGCGCGGAGTTTTGGGGAGCAGGGGCGGCCTGACACCCTCACCCCCCTTCTTCCCCAGACTCCACAGGCAAGTACTGGATGGTAGGCAGCGACTCCTCGGTCACCAGCAGCAGCGACACCCCCGTGGATTTCTTCTTTGAGTTCTGTGACTACAACAAGGTGGCCATCAGGGTGGGTGGGCACTACCTGAAGGGCGACCACGCGGGGGTCCTGAAGGCGTCCGCCGAGACCATTGACCCCGCCACACTCTGGGAATACTAGGTGCCCCCCCCCCAATCCCCGTGCCCCAGCCCACTCCCTGCTAACTTCCTTCTCTAGGTGGGCTCCGAGCTGGTATGGAGCCCCTTGTCTTTCAAACTGGAAACCCCAGCGAAAATGGTGCCCCTCCCCCGCGACCCCCCAGCCTGCCTCTCAGAGGGGTCAATGGATGTGCCCGGTCACTGTGTAGAATCAGCACGGTCGGGTCCTCCACCCAGGCAAGGCTGGCTCGCTTTCTTCTGACCTCAGTCGACTCTGAGCCTTATTGCCCCGAAGCAGTCAAGAGGAATTGGGGGGGGGGGGGTGTCCGTGGTGGGATTCTCCTGCCCCACTCCCATCCCTCGGGGTGGGGGTGGAGTGTTCTGAGCTTAGTACAGAGGGCCAGCTCTGCCTACTGCACGCTGTGGGGTCCCCTCCTCCGACCTCAAGTCTAGTCTTCACCCTCCCTGCTCTGACTGGAAGCAGAAAATGACCAAATCAGTATTTTTTTTAAAGGAGTTTATTGCTGGTGGCGCCCTGGCAAGCATGTAGTCCCCAAGGGGACTGCCACAGCTGGCGGGGGTCAGATGGGCACCCCTAGTTCGGAGCTTCCGGCCTCCACTTCTCTAAGGGGCTCTCTTCTGGCCTCTGCCTGTGTCCCACCTGGTGGTGCTGGCTGCCCTCCCCCACAGGGCCAGAGCCCTGCAGCAGGATCGGTGCTCCACACTTGTGACTGGAATCTTCTGGAACCTTCTGGAATCCTGGGGTCTCCTGGCCCCACACTGCCTCGCTGCCCTGCCAGCCCCTCCCACTGCTGGTTTGTGTGCCCTGCATCTCACTCTGGGTGTCTTGGTCTTTCGTTGTTTGTAAGTCACTTGTATCTCTCAACGCCCATGATAGTAGCTTCAAACTGGAAAAAGAATAAAACATTAAGTCCGATGCCTGGGGTCCGCATGTGCGTCTGGGGGTGGAGGTGGGGGGTTTGGACCGGCAGTGGGCCCAGTTGGATCTCTGGGGCCCCTTCCAGAATCATCAGGTGCCCTGGTGGCCGCAAGGGGAGGTGGCTTAAACCAGGGCTCCCACAAGGCTGCCCCTGCCCTCCACCTGGTGGGGTGGGCATATATATGGGCACCTGCAAGGGGTAGGGCCCATGTGCGGGTGAAGCCTCAATACTGAGGATTCTAATTTTGCCTATCATGTAATCGGATGGATAGATACTCCGGATCCGTATCCCTCCTTACCATGAACCAAGGTTCTCTGGTGTACACCTCGGAGCCCGAGGCCTCTCACTCTCTCACAACAGTGGCTTCGGTCCTGTGGGTTCAGGCTGTGCCCAGAGTGGGGGAGGTGTGTCTGTGGAGGAACTGGAACCAGACCGTTTCAAGCTGAAGGCTGGGGAAGTTTCTAGACTGTTCAGTGCTGGGCTCCTGGGCCTTTCTTCCAGTCTCCTTGAATCCCATGCATCCTGGGCTGAGAATCCCTGGTGGCCTGATAGTTAAGTGCTTGACTACTAATGAGAGGTCAGAGGTTAGAAGTCATCAGCTTCTGAGGAAGAAAGATGACAGGCTGCTGCTGCCCTGCCCTGCTGGCTTCCGTAGGTGAGGGCTGAGGAGACTGCAGGGGGCTAGGGTCAATCCTAAGTGAATCCCTTCAGGACATGTTGAACAGCGTTGTTGGGGGTGAGGGAGGCAGGGACCACTTGCTCATTTACTCAGCAGGGAATGTGGTCTGAGCAAGGGCACAGCAGGCAGACATAGGGACAATCCCCATGGCAAGCTGGCTCTCTGCTGGTTATGAAACTATGGATATCTGGCCTGTGATTGGTCCCAAGGGCCCATACTTTGGAGGCAGATGAGGACAGATGGTGTCCTGGAAGGGGGATGCTGGGCCCCAATGCAAGGGAATGCTTGAGTTTTCAGAAGCAAGCAACCGAATAGTCACAAGGCTAGGGTGGGGACCCCAAGCTGGTAGCCCCTACTCATGAATTCTAGCCTGGCCATGGGCAGCTTTCAGGGAAGAGCAGAGTCGTCCTGGCTTAAAACCCCCCCCCAAATCAGGAACAATTTTCAGCCTGTGAGAAGCTTACTGGGCCTGGGACACGTGCCATGTGAGTGCAGGAGCCCAATACCATGATGGGAGTTCAGGTTAGGGTTCCCAGAGGAAGTGCCCTTGCCGAGCACCAAGAAGATAGAGCAACTGGAGTGTAAGGAAGAGCAATCCTTTCGGAGGGGAGTGGCTTACGGATTTCTGGGAAGAAGGGGCCAACCAGGACTGAAGGGGTCTGAAGGAAGATAGATCTTGGGGAAGCACATGGACTATCTTGAGCACAAACAGGGCTCCCTGTGGGCCTCCAGAGCCCTCCTTCCATCACAACCACTGCTTGCCTGGCCCCTAGAGCTGGGGTTTAGGAGCCCAGGGCGGGATTTCTGCTTTGCTCCCACCTTGGGGCAATGTCATTTCCTCAGCAGTTTCTACAAGCTTGTGTGTGTTCCTATCAGTTCACTAGCACATGCAGGCACACACAAACACTTTTTGCTCTTCATACCCATTTACCCAGTTCCAATCTGAGCCCACACACTGCCTCTAGCACACCATTCCCCCCCTTAAGAATGTATTCAATAGACAGGACTTTGTGCTCCCTTTGTTACAGTTTTCAGTCCTAACCTGTCCTATGGGGTCACTGTGAGCCGGCATTGACTCGATGGCAGGGAGTTTGTTTTTGGGTTACCCTACATCCTAGTTCATGGAATAGTGTCTGGGGTCTTAATAACTTGCAAGCAGCCATCTAGGCACAGGAATTGGTCTCTATTTAGAGCAATGGAGGAAGAGGGCATCAGTAAGTGGAACATGCGACCAATTGTTCCTCTGGAGAGCAGAACCACGTAAGTGTTGGAGTGCCTGGATACCTTGGGCAGGAGGACTCTCTTGGTGTTCTGGGGTTGTCCTACCAAATAGGTGATTTAAACTGAGGTGCACAGTCTCACATGTCTGGAGGTTCAGTGCATAGACAACCGCATGGACAAGCCTGGCAGCAGCATGTTGGGTCAAACAAGTTGGCCCTGGAATCTGGTTGGAAAGCAGATACAAATACCCAAGACATAGAATGAGGAAGCTGCTCTTGTCAGGAGGGCGGAGTCCCCTAGAGCTGTTTTTCGGGGCAGATACTCCGAGAGGCAGACAGGGGTGTCCAGTGACGGGTGCTTCTACTGACCACAGGTCCAGCACACTGCCCTGCAGCAACCATGCCCCACATCTTGTTCCACTCAGTGCCCCCTGAAGATGCTGTCACCGCTCCCCATTCACTGCCAAGCAACTGCCTGAACTGTCCCAAAGCCACCAGGCTAGGAAGGAATCTGATGGGGGACACTTGAAGACTGCCAACTTGTCTGGGGACTGATCTTTTGAATCCACCTTGTATACACCCACACACAACTCTTGATCCGTGGACTCTCGAGTCCATTGTGCAAGGCACACCTTCAGGCTGGTGTGAGGTGGCTGAGTGAGTGCAGGGGAGCTCTCCGCTGTCATCAGCAGGCTGGAGAACAGGTGGCCAGCCCAGCCCAGCCCAGCGAGCCTTGCTGTAGAGAGCAGCAAAGACAGGGAAGACTTAGGGGCTGTAACTTCAAAGGTGCTGTCCCTGAGTGGGGACCAACCCTGGCAGCAGGTAACAGGGAGGACAATACAGGCTAGTTGGAGGGAGGGCTGGGAGGTGGTAGGAGGGGAAAGGGTCACCACTGAGTCTTTCATTCAGAAAGAACTGCAGAGCAGTCTGACTTGGCTATAAACCTACGAACTGCGGTGGGTGCAGGAACAGGTCCCAGGGGAACCAGACTGAATAGTCATTAGAAAAGATGAATCAGTGAATATGCAGCCTCCCTCCCACTCCATGGTGTGAGATTGGTACCAAGGTCCAGCTGTGATGGGAGCCCGGTGGGGGCGGGGCAGGAAAGGCTGGCCTGTAAGCTCACCCTCTTGTACCCATCAGGGACTATGGCCCATATCCAGGTTCTCTACCAAATCATTTCCTGTATTTCTTCAGCAGATGTGGCTCTGGCCTTGAAGGGGTTCCCTCCCCACCCATCCCCCAGACTTGGTAGACCCCCAGCAGAGGTGGGAAAGGGGAGCCCTCTTTGGTTCTAAAGAGACCCAGCAACATACACCCCAGACCCTTCTACAGTTGCTCCTGCACACAGAGAGCTGGCAAAGAGTGCACCAACATTTATTTACAAAAAGTCCAAGTTACATATGATACAGGCTTTTTACACACAGTAGTTTAAATTCAGTGGCTAGTTTATGCATGTCACTACTGGAAGGTACAGAAAAACTTAAGATTAAACTACGTATTCATTTCTTCACTATTCTCATCCAAAGTGGTGGACATGCACTTTCTCGTTCCCACTTCTGACTCCTGTGATGTGCAAACACTCCAGCCCTCTCTCCCTTTTTAAGGCAAGTGAAGTGGACTGTCGTGAGTGGTCCCTCCCCTGGGGAGCAAGAGGCATGGCTGTGGCTCAGAGAGGAGCAGGCGTGGGCTCTTGCTGATTCTGAGACAAGGACCGACCTGGGTTCCTGTCACTGTGTGTGCCACTGGTTGGTTACACAGGGCCTGGGTTCTTGTCAGCGCACACACTGGTTCTTGGGAGGTCTCACCCAGGTTTGGTCCCACCACTCAGGGCTCCTGCTCGTCTGGAGCCCGTGGCAGGGATAAAGAGGAATGCTGGGTCAGGGAGATCATCATGGAAGGGCAGGAGCAGCTAGACCCTCACCATCAAATGTGGCTGGCAACATGTGAGGTCACCTCAGAAAGGACTAATTAATATTGGCTTGCTTGCTCGCCTATGGGACTGCATTATAAAGCTGGGCCCCCAGGGCACCTCGACCCTGGACTCTGTCATTGGGACTGCTGCCACTGTCCTGTAGCTGCCCGAAACCTGCAGCCCTGCCCTGAGCACAAAAGGGCTGCACAGATAATGGCGACAGGACCCCAGTGAAAAGGACTGCCCCCCCCCCCCCACTACGGTGAGGAACTGGTTCCAGAGGTCCCCTCTATGTATGGTGGGGCAGCAATTAGGGCTGGTGGCCCCATGTGGTGTGGCATCCACGGCCACCCCCATCGCTTAGAGAGCCCTTCCATAGAAGGTGGCAGGAACAGGCTTTCACTAATACGTAACGGTGGACTGGACCACGCACTCTCACCCCAAGGCACGTCTGTGGTACACCCACAGATGGCAGCTTGTCAGAAGGCACTGGTGCTTGGCAGGCCCCCAAGCAGGGAGGGGACTGTCTACGCCCTAAACTCTTACTCTTCCTGAGTGCCAGCTTTCCCATCTGGTCCCCTCAGCCTACCCGCAGAGATCACCTGCTCCCATACCCCACATCCTGGGGACAGAAGAAAGAGCAGGGGTCTTAGGAGGTACTGTTCACTCTACGAATCCTTGAAACACATTGAAGGAGTTGCTGGGCAGCAAGTGTACACAGCGGGCGGGCCTGGGGGTGGAGGATGTGCTAAGGTCTCTGACATATGTACCACACCTCTACCTTTCAGGTGCATGGCTCACCTTACCTGAAGTGCAGGACAAGTACAACCCCCTCAATTGAACAGATAGAAAAGCTTCTGGCTTCTGCTCTGCGGGGGGTTTGGGAGGGGGCCTCCCTTGGTGGCTCGAAGGCTCAGCTGCCAGTATGTAGATCTCCATCCTGTGATTACTGAGAAGACATGGAGGAGGCCAGGGACCGGATGGCTGACACTCTACGTACGAAGATAAGGAGCTATACTGCCTCCTCACCAAACCGCAGGAAGGGAAAAGCTGCTTGCTACCTGTAGTCCTGGAGTGGGGAGCACGGAGCACTGCTCAGAGACAGAGGGGAACTCTGGACCCCTGGGAAAAGTCGGAGGGAGCGGGCAGGGCACCGCTTAAACTACAACACAGACTGTACCGTGAGGCCAAGAAGGGGCAGGCGGGGGGGAAAGCAACCAGGCCCAGGCACTGGGGCAGGATCCTGAGGGAACCCATTGAGCCAAGGGCCATCCGAACTCTGAGAGGCCTGTCCTTGTCATTGGGAGCTTATCCTTGGGAGGGGGAGCATCCAGGAACTTAGACTGGTGTCTACTATGCAAGTGAGTGGAAGGACTTCCAGGGACCAGGCTTTGTTGCCAAAGTTCAGTCCCTCACTATGTGGCCCCGTAAGACCAGACCAAGCCCATGCCCGGTACCCATTGTCCCCAGCCTGCCTCCGCTCAGTCATCAAGGGCCTGGACTTCCCATGTGTGGGAAGGGTAAGCCAGGGATGTACCCCACCCCAGCCCCAGCCCCACACAGGCCTGAGAGCTGTCCTGGTGGAACCTCAGTCCTGGGGGGCTTCCTGGGCCGTCAGAATCGGTGGCGAGGCTGGGGACCAAAGTGCATGGGCAGGTTGTGCTCCAGGGGGACGTTAATGTGGGCAAAGTCATAGTTGACCCTCATGTTGGGCAGAGGGGGCACGTACGGCGCTGGGATGGGGCCCATGTTGAGGGGGAAGTTGTTGAACATGGGCCGCACGGGTGGCAAGGGGAAGTGTGGGTGCACAAAAGCGTAGGGGGGGATTTGCGGCTGGTGCAGATTCTGTGGGACAGGCCTGGGTAGGACCTCGATTCTCTGTACTTTCTCTGGAGGCTTCTCCAAGGGTGGCCCAATACGTTTGAAGGTGTTCTCTGAAAAGCACAGGGAATTCCATTCAGAAAACATGTACACCCACTTGGAACCAGGCAGTGTGGCCCCACACTCCCCCACAGCCAGGTGCTGATAGGCACGAGGTGGGGCCTGGGAAGGGGGACAGGTTCGATGCAGCACATGCTCAGCCCAGGGATCTACGAGCTGTCAGCATTACCCTGACTACTGGACGCAGGCATTCCCCAAGCTTGCTCACACACCTACCACAACAAAGAGCCAAGCACCATGGCCCTCCCAAGGAGCGCTGTATCCCGGTCACCTAGGCGCTCACCTCCTGCTCCAGATTACAACAGGGTGGATCTCTGTGTGATGCTTTCCTCGGGAGCCAGAGACGGGGGGCTTCTTACATGCTATTCCATTCTTCCCTCAACCTCCAGGGCTGGGCCCCCCATCTCTAGTCATGATCAGCTTCTAGTTACTCCCTAAGCTCAGCCTGCCCCAGACTTCTTTCTCTTTTAGCACCGTATGGCTTCTCCCCAGGGAGCTGTGACACCTCATGGTCAAGCCACCTACACAACACAATTTTCATCCCAGACCACCTGATCCCTGAGGCAGGGTTGAGTGCCAGGTTCCCCATGGGAGGGCCAGCAGCTGGGGCCCTGAGTAGTCCCTTGATGCCCTTAGTCCACTCCATGGCTTCTGTGGGTCTGCATGGACAGGGGCATTGCTGGGACCCTCAGTTGGGGCCTGTCATGGTATAGGGGTACACTTGCCTCCGTTTTTTCTCTTCTGCTCCTCTTCAGCCTCTTTCTGGATTTCCTCAATGAGCTTCTCATCGTCCTCCTGAAATAAAAGTCACAAAGTGTATGAGCTAATAGGGACTGCAGTGTATGCAACTGGCAGGGACAGTGGGCAAGGTTATCTCAGAACCCTGCTCACAGCACCCACACCTGTTCCTCCAGCAGCTCAACAGTGTACCCAGACACCATGCCTGGACCGAGGCCCGTGGAGAAGTGACTGGAGGGGCTGCAGGCAAGCAGAGGGTGGGAAAGTGGCAGCTAGAAAAGCAAACCGAGCAGATTCTGTGCAAAGCCTCATGGGTGAGTGAGCTGAAGTGGACAGAGGTCTTCTCAGGCACTGCTGACCCCTAGGGCTGGCATTCACCTCCTGAACCACTGTGGGTTATCAAGCCAGGGGGCAGTGGCCTGGCAGACTAAGGACAATCCCAGTCAGATGTTGCCATCCCTCCACCCAAAATACAACTCAACACATCTGCAAACTCCGGTTTTTTTGTTTTAACCCATGGGTCCCAGTGACCAGTTGACATTCAAGGAACTACTGAGATACGCGCACAGGGTTACACAGACCTGTGGATGGGCAAACACCCATGGGGCAGAGGCGAGTGTGGTGGCCTCAGTGATGGGGCTTCATAGTGGACAGCTGGCACAGTCGTACTATGCATGCCCTGACCCACAGTACTGAGTGACCTCACTGTGCAGCTGTGAAGCCAGAAGGATGCCAGAGCTAGGGCTTTTTCTCCACATGGTGGAATGGGATCAACGGGCAGGGTGGACATAGTTGGAAGGTGTCCACAGAAGTGTCAAGACAGACTCCCAAAGCCTTCAGGCTGAGGTGTTCCAGCAGAAAGGAGCACCACTGGGAGTTTATTGTTGTTGGTGGGGGAGGTGGAGTAGGGTGACAGTGTCACTGAGAGACAAGACCCCAGAAGGTACCTCTACCCTGATGGTTTAAGATGTTGCGGTGTTGCTCACTCTTTCAGCGCAGAGAGCCCCATGTGTGGCTGTGCACAGGCACCCTACAGATGCTGGCATTTTGGGGTTGTGATCACAGTTGTTGCTGACATTCCATCAGGATGGGACAATTTCACTGTGAAAGGCTCACTGACTCTCTCATCGGATTTCTGATGGGGCAAATGAATGAGCAGCAGGAGCTTCCTCAAGGGGCTAGCTTCTGGGCCCCTGGCTTTGCTGAGGGCAGGTGAGGGTGAGGGTTTGCAGAGCCTGTGAGCTCCACCACCAGTTAACCACATCACTCCCCCCACAGAAGCCACCCAGCTGTGAACCCGACTGAGCCTTACCTCACCTTGAAGCAGAACTCTGCCTGCCCCAGTCTGAGGACTATTTTTAGTCTGTTTTGTTCTAGAAAGTGCATCCTACCCTCTTTGAAGTACAATATTGCTCTTTCTCTCTGAAGCCTTCTATTCTTCACGAAATACAAAGACAAGGGCAAGGGCAAGTAGGCAGGACGAAGCACCTGTGTTGGTGAAGGGTGGAGCCAACCAAGGCCTGAAATCCCAGGGCCACCAGGATCCTTTCTCCAGGTCCACCTAATAGGCTGCAGCTAAGTTTGGGGGTAACGGAGGGGGAAGAGGGAGCTCCCCCTAGCCCTTCACATCAGCCAGAAACCAAAGTTCCAGACCAGGGTCTTCTCAGTGGGAGAGGCAGAGGGCTGACTGACTCACTGAGTGGCTAAGTCTCCTAGGTGGTGGCCTGGGCTCTTCTTGAAAGGCAGGAAACAAAGTGTCAGCCTTTCCTTGCTGACACACCTTCTCAGGAGGCTGAAGGGGGTGCAGTACTCTTTCTGCTTTCTTCCCACACAGAAATAGGGGTTTTATGCTCATGTACATTGCAGAATACCCTTAATTTCCTGATAATTAATGTAGCTCTATTAAGGCAATTTTGAGAAAACACACACACACACACACACACACACACACACACACACACACACAAATTCACCTGCAATTTCTTCCCAGAGTCAACTGTAGGAACATGGGTCTCTCACAGGAAAACGAGATACATTCTAGAACAGCAGCTCCCCTAGTTGCCTGGCCACATTTAGGCTGGCCTGTCCCTCTAGGGACATCCCGCACAGTCATAGGGAAGCTCAGCAGATCCTCGTCTCTTTGAGAGGAGACTGAGGCTTAGAGGAAGACCACCACAGGGTAAGGTAGGGTTGATGCCTGTGCCCTGTCTGCCTGGGCTGGGTGTCTCCAGAAGGGACGGGGACTCCAAAAGGTTCTAGTGAGAGGCTACTGTGGATGCTGGGACCCCTCTAGCTGTCTGTTCCCGGGCATGAGAATTCAAGAGGGGCAAATTGACCTGGATCAGTCCCATTCACTGGCCTCCCTCTGGCCCTAGTCACTGGAAAGAGTCCGTCACAGGCTGGGTTCGATCCAGGCCATCAGACAGGAGGGGCTGGACACACAAGAGAGTGTGAAGAATCATTTCCCGGAGCAGCAGGCAAACCCTGCCTCCTGTTGCTCTGTCACTCTGGGAGGTAACACATGGTGCTCAGCAGATGTGGAGAGAGCTTTAAATAAAGGCTAAGCTGGCCAAGTCTAGCAAGGAGGTGGTCCCACCCACTTCCGCTTACAGACTTCCTCAGGGCTCCGCAGGATGCAGGCAGTACAGAGGCTGGGACACGTAGGCTTCACGTGGAGGGGATGAGGCACAGCCCAAGTGAGAATAGTAGGCTGGTGGTGGGGAGCCAGGCCAAGATCACAGAAGTTCCAATTAAGAAGGAAGGTGGGGGGAGGGGGGCAGGGGAAGAAGGCAGGAACCAACTAACCCTCACGGTAACAGCGGTCCTGTGACCCTGCCCAGACAGCGGAGCCTAGAAAGCTGATGAAGGAGACAGGGAAGGTGGATGATTTCAAGAATCTGCTACTAGCATCCATCACAAGCCCCGTGACCTTTCCCACAACAGCCACTCATGCACTTGGCAGAGATTATCTTGCCAAAGCTCTCGACTGTGCTTTTTTGCAGCTGCTTTTCCACGGTCCTGTTGCCAGCCTGGCAGCCATGGCCTGCTTCCTGTGTGCACAGAGAGGGGATGGTACATTGTTCTGGTGGATGAAACTTCTCCCCTTAAAATGCACATCATCCACTGCCCTGTTTCCCATTGGTCCAGGGGTGGGGCTGGGCCCAGCTGCTGTTAATATTCTGGCAGTGGTTTCAGGAAAGGCTTCCCAAGAGCCAATATGCAGTTTCAAATGATTCCCTGAGCAGCTGCAGCTTGCCTGAGCAACACCAGAACAGGACTGCCCCCCTTCCCATGCATCCCCCACAACAGGAAATGGGGGGCTGGGCGGAGTGGGGGGCGGTGTCTGGTGTAGGGGAAGCAGTTGGTGAGGCATATGCTGTGCAGCTGGGTAGAAGTCCTCCAGAGCAGAACACTGCCCTGGAGGGTGTAAGGTGGTAGGGTGGGGAAGGGGTGGGTAGAGATATTGCTGGGCTGGGGAAGGAAGGGAAGGGGAGGACATGATACCCTAGGCTCCATTCTTCTGCAGGGGTGCCTCCTCCACAGATTCGAAGGTCTTGTTTGGACTCTGGTCAGGGTCAAGTGAGCTGCCCACAGGTGCTGGAGCTGGTTGTGGCAGATGTGCTTCAACAGCCATGTTTACTGGGCTGAGTAGTAGGACCAACTTAACTGCCGTACCTCCTTCGAAAGCACTCCAGAGACAGCTACACCCAGGGTGGCTATACTGTTTCCAATCTGCCCAAAGGGATGAAGCCACACAAGGGTCTTGGCTTTCTTAGGAGGCCCTCTCCCACTGCCCCTCAGGCCCAGGAAGGGGCTCAGGGAATGGTTAAGTTCAAGGTCCTGGGTGAGAGGCTGGGATCTTTTGCATCCCACTTTCCCGTGTGTGGGGGTGGAGTGTGAGAACCAGTCGGGCTAACATGGGCGTCAGGCTAAACCAGGCTGGACAGCAGCAAGCTGAGGAGCCAGGGATGGGCACCACTGGGTCCCTTCGCTGTCCAATTTTCTCTAGAAACAGTGAACTGAAGCAGTTGGAGGTGGAGGTGGAGGGAGTAGGGCACAGTGGAAGCCAAAAATGAGTCACTAGTCTTAAGTTGTGAATCGCTCTCCTCACCACGGCCCCATCTCTTCCTCCTCAGTTCTCTCCAGAACCTGTACCACCCTCCCACCCCTACCGTGTGTGTGTGTGTGTGTGTGTGTGTGTGTGTGTGTGTCTCCACGAGGCAAATGCAGGCTGACCCCATCTGACAATCAGACAGACACATGCCTGCTCCAACCTGCTATAGGCCAAGTGCATGCTGCTAAGCAAAGGTGCTGCCCAGCTGTCTACCGGCCATGAGCAGAACCCCCTGCAGTCTCATGTGCGGAGACACAAAGGTCTGTGTGAACAACTTTCTGTAGAATTGGGGCGTCCTTGGGGCAGACGCACTGTGGAGCTCCATTTACAGGGAACCTGCAGCGGCAGTCCTGCGACACTTCTAGAACCCAACTGAGCACGGCTGTCCTAATGTGGCTGGGGCACAAGCTTAGATGGGAGGGCCAGACACCTAGCCTCTGACAGGTTTGGATGCTTCTCCGAACCACAAAAACCACGCTGCTAAAAACAAATAGAACAACCACGCTGCTTGTCTGTGGATCTTGGTTTAGGCTTTGAAAGCTGCCTGAAACCCCGAAAACCGCCTCTGTCCTCTGGTACTTCCTCCTCCTCCTCTAAATAAGGTACCTTATTTTTTCCTCAGTCAGGAAGCTTCAGTGGGGGAGCAAAAGCATTTTTAGGAGTCAAACTAAGCTGCGAGTCTACTCTTGAGGTTGGTTAGCTATGAGAACATCTCATTCACAGGACTCTTGGTTGGATGCTTTTGGCATACACGTGACCAAATCGTTTGGCGCTGACAAAGAACGTTACTGTTCACAAAGCTGCTCTAATGGGGAGACAGGACAGTTTCCCGAGCCATCTCGAGTCGTTAAGGATGAAGATCAGCCCCTCTCCAGCCAGAGTGGGGACAAGACCCATCTCCCTTGGTGACGAACTCAAGTTCCTTCCTGGCCATGGTTAATGA